CCCCCCCCCCACCATAACAAGATTGTTTGCTTCAGCCCACTCAACGTCATGGTGCATGCTTAAATACGGCTTAGCAGCCGTGAAACGCCAGGTAGCTATCTGAAACTGCACGTGCTTTCACCGAGAACATAGGTTCAGAATGGCATTGCGCCACCCCGTGCTGCCGACGTATAACAACGACGTCGCAACTCGTAGCGAGTCGATAAATGGCAGACAGCAGCCTTTGGCTTGTACAGTCGGGTCTCTCAGTAGTACCGAATTGGGTCTATCACATTCACCTGCACTATCCCGGACCCCAGGCACTATTCAGAGAACGAGACAAGTTGAATTCGAGACTCCCATCTCACGCGATTTCACCGGCACGATACTGGGCAGTGGCACTATGTATTCAACCGGCACTATTGAGGGACCCCCACCATACGTACAGCAGTTTTCCAGCCCGTTGGTATCGCCTACCCGATGCGGTGGGCTGTAGACTGCACGGTGTACCCTTACCTCAATGTCACCGTTTGCTGGCCTGATCGCTGGCCTCTGACCTGTGTTTATGAAAGCGTGGTTGCAAGGTACTTGCTGGGACGCGTCTTTTGCCAGGGTTTTGAACCCCCGGAACCCCGAAACTAGGGCCGCGTGTCGATACTTTCAAAACCTGTAGACAGGTCTGCGAAGTGTATTGTCGACTGAAAGTCATCATGCCGCTTGTTTCGTTAACTGTCGTACGGTAATGCTCCACACACACTCAGGCCGACTTTTTTTTTTGAGATGGTCGACCCCCCCCGCGACCCGTTCGAGTACCTTCCAAGAGTCGGGCAACGCCCCATCCCCGCTCAAAGTAAACTAGCGACGGCTTGAAGCCCTTGCCGTGCACACCCCTCCCCCGCTGCTCTTTCCAGCATCCTAACCATGGGATGTAACCAAAGGAGCTTCTCCTTACAATATAAGGCTTCAAAGGCCAAATGTTGCGAAAACACGCGGCAGGGCATTTTCGGGGTCAAGTAAATGTATGATTTGTCTCGCTACTACAGATCACAGGGTTATCTTATCTCGGCGGATGGATTGTTCCTGAGTGCAGTGGGACTGGCCAGAGCCGGATAGTTTAAAAACGAGAATCAGCCACATACGGCAAATGATAACACGTGCGACTGGCGTCGTCGACCGCTCAACCCGTGTCGAAGCAAGTCGAAACTGCCCCTTAGTGTTCCTGAGGGCGCGCGTCATTGTAACCTCTTGCTGTGCCGTACATGTGGTTCCGTCTCGTGTCGCCGGCGGTGGGGACGAGAGCAGGTGTTCAGCCTGTGTGAGTACGCCACGGACCACTTCGGAGATCTGACCGGGCTTCCCCTTCAGGTAGAACGTCTGAGGGAACGGTTGTCATGCGCTATGTTCCCTGTTGATTACATACCCTCATTAGTTGTTTTGCATCGCTTAGGTGCACCCGCTCGTTACTAAGTTTGCAGCTTTCGGAGGGATGGTTGCCTTCGCCTCCCTTTCATCCATGGCCTTGTTCGGGACGATGTATCATGAATCTGTCCAAAATCTCCACGAGACACGCACTTTCGCCCCGGTCGTCTCGGCTATCGATCTGAATCCCGCCGATCGAGCCTTCCGCCTTTTCTTCCCCACAGTGGCTGTTCCACGAAGATGCCACCAACAAGAAGACCGCCGCGAAGATCATGATGCACATCGAGAGGAGCGACTCGGACAGCATGTGTTGGTGAGTGCATCTAGTCCACTTTTTGTTTTTGGCTTCACTTCACACCAGCAATCACAGCACTTGTGCGGAATACTCCAACCCGTGGTCACACAGAAGGATCCCCCCCTACCCACCCCTCCATGCCGCTATAATATACCGGTCTCCTGTGCTGGAGGAGAACTCCCTCCTCTCCGTTCTTCCGCTCTTTTCGTTTTGTTCTTATACCCTCTATGGTGCGATACGGACCGGTAAAATGCATCCGAGGGCCTAGCTGTGCGAGGGCATTCTCTCGCCGGGCACGTGGATGCTTGCTGAAAGGGACCACGAGCAGTTGTGGCCCTCTTTGAGCGCCCTCCTCCTGCAGGCTGCCGCCCGTTTCGATTTGAGGCGCTCTCTCCGATGTTGTTCAGTCTCTGGTTCGCGTAAGCCATTCCTTGTAGATGTCCTGCATCCATGAGCGCATGATTCCTGTTCACGTATCCGGCTGTTTCACATTGATCGATGAAGGAACGATGGCAAATTCAATTTCTGCCCGCCCATGGGCCGAAACGGAGAATAACGAACAGACGCCGACTTCAGGGGTGTAGATAACCCGAGTCCCGCGTTGATTGGACTCCTCGAACGATTGGCACCCGTGGTCCCTGGTCTTCCTGCCATGCAGGAAAGATAGCAAGGAAGAATTTCACGGTCTCTGTCCCTGCCTCAGCCGAAAACCCGATTTCTTAATATTAAACGGCTGGCCTTCCTACTTTTGATTGGATTTTGTGCCCGCCAAAAAACTACGTTGAATGCAGCACGACTGCCAGGGACGGGCTCTGTTCAATGAACGCGGCGCTGTGACCTACGGACAATGTTCCGGCTCATCCCCCCCCTCTTCCCCCCCCCCTC